TCTGAAAAGAGAAAAAAAAATAAATCCGAGAAGAGAAAATAAAAGTAAGAACATGAACAACCATGGTCAAGAGCTTAAGAACTCATAAAAAAAATTTCTAAAAGCCATTATTTTAAAAGTCATAAAAATCATATAAGCGAGGATAATCATAGATTAGAAAATTGAATACAAAGACAATTAGTTTTTTTTATTTTATTATGTAGCCAAAACAATTAAATTTCTTCAAATGTCATAATTGAATGTTAAAATTCATAAAAAATGAAGAGCAAATCACTATTGAATAATAGATGAGAGAGAGAGAAAAAAGTGATTAAGAAAAGAGAAATATTAGAAAAATTTGTCAAGTAAGATAAAAGCAAAAGCAAAAGCAAAAATATTAGAAAGTCTCCTTCTCTTAGAAAGTGTCAAAATAACACTTGCAAAAACTCAATATTTCTCCTTGATATAATGATAATGATAATTATAATGATTTTCTACTAATTTTTATATATAATATTGTGTTGATTTTTGTTATAAATTATAATATTATAAATAATTTATATTACTTCAAATTTAAGAGCGCTCACGAAATTATAAAATAAAAAAAATTCTATAATTAACTAACTTGTTAAGGAAAGAACTTATATGTAAGTATTGTTACAATTTAACAACCAAATTTTTATGAAAATAAAATTACTCATCAAGCAATTTAAATTTTTTATAATAATTTAAATTTCAATTTTAAATTTTTATTAATAATTTAAATTATAATAATTTAAATTTAATTAACTTAATTTTTCATGTATAATATAATAGCATAAACTATCTATATTACTAAAATATGAAAAATCAATATTAGTTTCCATATTTGGTTAATTGAAATAATAAATTTTTATTATTGCATTAGTTAAAAAAAAACACTAAAAAAATGTAATTTTACACTAATGAATTCTCCATCATGAAGGACAAGGCTGTTATTAATACTGTTATTAATACTGTTATCATTGTTCTATTGAGGTTTAGACGAATTAAGGAAATAGCAACACCAATTAATCAAAAAAATTTAATTGCCACAATAAGTTATTTAAAAGTGTAAAGCAACAAAGCCAATAAAATATAAAAATAAAAATAAAAATATATTAAATATATAAAAAAATAACATAAAGTGAAAATAAAATACCACGTGAGAAATTTTTTTGAAAATTAAGGATAAGCTTAACTTGGGCTTATTATATTTGGAAATTATATTATAGAATAATATATATTATGGATAGATAACGATTATCGTTTATAATTTTAATATATTTTTCATTTTTTTTGCTAAATTCTATGCGCATATTTTTTTTTATGGTTGCTTTGTTTGGAAAAGAAAAAAAATTCTTTCAACGTGTTATATGATTGGCTGATATAACGTTTTATATCATAACTTTTAGTTTTTAATTTTATATATATTTTTAGTGAGTTTTATTTTTGTTTTGAATCAAAAATAAATCTTACAATATATTTCTTAATAAATAATAATAAATTAAATTATATAATATTAATAATAATATCAAAAATAAATCTTACAATATATTTCTTAATAAATAATAATAAATTATATAATATTAATAATAATAAATCTACAAGGAATGATTATGGATCGGATTCGGATCGAATTATACAAAATCCATGTCCAATCCGCGAAAATATTCATATATCCATGTCCACATCTGTTCCGCTCGAATTCAGATTGGATCGGATGTCAGAGCGGATCGGGTCGGATCGGATATCATCTATCTTTATTATGTTTAAAAGAAAAATAAAAATAGAACAATAATGTTATAAAAATATATTTATTGTGCTTGAAAACACAAAAGTTTTTAACAATAATTGAAATTATTGTATACTATGACAACTAGAAGAGACTTTAAGAATTGTTAAGTGCAAAAGAAATCATGCTAGATCGTAACATTCGACTTATATTCTTTTGTTTCAAGCAGAGATTAAAAAAAAATATAAAAACGGTGAAAGAGTTAGAGATTCAAAATATAAATCAAAGAAAGAAGGAAGAGAAAAATAAAGATAACTCAACATCTATAATTACAATCCACAATTTTAGAAATATAAGAAAAAATAAAATTATCTTTCACAGATTAGATTCGGATCGAATTATGCTATATCTATATCTGATGGATATCCGTGCGGATTTTATTTTAAAAATCCATATCCAATCCACCGCTATTTAGATTGGATTTTATCCACTCAATTCGAATCAGATCAGACTAATATCCAACGGATCGGGTCATTTGATCATCCCTAAAAATCCACCGCTATTTCTAGTTCTCATCAAACTTAATGGAAAGGGAGAGATTTAATACATGTGGTTATATGTTTATCCATATATTGGCCGAGTATATAAATTGGCCCCTGAACTTGCGCCAAAAAGTCTTGTGGCCACCTCAATTTTTAAAATGACTTTGTGTCCCTTGAACTTTACTTTTTTATAATAATTCCACATTAAACTTTACTCACCTTGCTACAATAAAAAATAATACTGTAATACACGCGCGATGATGTGGAAAAATGCATTCCAAATGGCAATTAGTTTTGCCACGTCAGATCTATCGATCTCATCTCTACCATTCCCCTACCTATCTACCCTATCATCAACGTCGCCATCTTCATCTTTATCTCATCTCCAAGCACTACGCTTCCTTTCTCTCTGCTTCAAAACTTTCCTTTGCTTTCTTTCAATTCTTAAGCGAAATAGTCACTTTATCCTAAATCTAAAAAATTCTTTTGATTAATTCATCATTCTTAACAGAGATGTTGAATTTGTTGGAGCGAGTGATAGCCAAGATAACCAGCGGCGGGCAACCATGGCAGAACTGAAGCAAACTCTATAAGTGATGAAGCTGAAACATGTACAAACAAAGCAACCCCAACAAAGTGACTGTTTTCGTTTGGTGCTATCAAATGAGTCTCATTTACAAGAAGCACACTCAAATTAAAAAATCTAAATATTATTTTCAACTTTGGTTTTTTACTTGTAGTTGATGTTCTTCTTCTTCATATTCTTTGTTTCACTATTGTTCTTCTTCTTCGTATTCTTTGTTTTGAAAGTCATGGCTACTTTTCTTTTCTCTTGATTTAGGGGTTTTTGGGGTCTAAATTCAAATGGGTTTTCCATAAAATAATTTGAATTTTCTATTAACAGTGTTATTTTAGGTGCAATAGCTTTCCAGTGCTCTTACAAACTCAAACTTTCTAACTTTGATTTTTGATTCTCAACTATAAATAAATTAGTAATTGATAATTAATTGAGCAAATTTTTAAATTTCTAAGTGGAGTTTAGTTTAATTGAGAATTTATTTGTGTGTAAAAAACCCAAATTGATTAACCATGTTTGATGGTTTTGATACTAGAGATGGTAGTGATGATTTGGAAAAAACTAAAATTCTCAAAGAGAAATATCAAGTTGACAAGCTTTGCTGTCATAAATCGAAAGAAAAAATAAAACTCATATATTTGAATAGAAAACAAGCATTCAAAATGAAGGATTTGATATGCATTTTTTGTGTTTTTACGTTCAGATAATGAAGGAAAGAAGAGAAATAGAGCGTTAAAGTACTACTCTGTTAACAAGAATTATTGATAATTAAGGTTAATTTTTGGTGGGTCCTATAATAGTTTTTCATTATCAAATTATATGCTATGGAAGAGTCCACGTTGGGCACTTCTTTATCCATCACTCTCCCTATGGCGCGTGCATTCCAATTTACATTTTTTAGCATGGCAAAGTGTGCAATTATTAAAAAAAAAGTAAAGCTTAAGGAGTCATAAGGTCATTTTAAAAATTGAGGGAGCCACAAGACTTTTTGGTGTAAGTTCAGGCAATTTATGTATTTGGCCTCTAAAGGTTCAATATATGCTCTCCATGTATATCATAGATGAGAGATTCAAGGGGTTCCCAATTTGTCTTTTTTCTGATTTCTTTGCTAGGACTGCACATCCCGTTCTAAATCAACCCAATCGAGCATAATTAGATGGGTTTAAAAATATAATGAGTTGGGTAGGGCAGATCATTTTTATAATTTATGGATTGAATTGAGTAACGGGTTAACTATGCAAATCCATATATTCAATCCAATCCGTAAAAATTATCATACTTATTTTTGTAAATGTGTGATAATTATGAATCATTTCAGTTAATTTAATTTAATTTATAATTTTAAATATAAATACTAAATTATTTAAATATTTAGTAGGCCTAATCGTTAAAATTATTTTCTTTGGCATAACTTTGTAAAAAAAATTTAGTACAATCAACGTTGATTTCGATGGAGTGGTTGAAATTCCTTCTTCCTTATCCAAGATATCGAGTTTGAGTCTTGGATATAGAAATTGCCACGTTAGGAGAGTCGCTTCCTATGTGGGCCCTGTAATACTCAAGCCGGATGTAATCGAAGCCTAGTGGGCTTGAGAATACCGGTGGTATAAATCAAAAAAAAAAAAAAAGAATGTAATCGAAGCCTTATGGGCCTTGAGAATACCTGGTGGTAAATAAATCAAAAAAAAAAAAAAAAGAACAAAAATTATTATATAAAAAAAAAAATCCTTGTCTTTTTCACTTCTCCTTAAAAAAAACATTTCATATATATATATTTTTTTTTTTTTTTTTTTTCTAAAGTGTATATCTATCATTAGTATAGATTAGAATGGATTTAATTTATTCGGCAATCGTTTTGCAGCCCACGTTTCCCACGTTTTTAAACATTTCTTTTTTTTTTTTTTGTTCCTTTTCCTATTCTAAATAGCAAAAAATCTGCTTTTAAAAAATTTGATTTTTTTTGTCCTTTTCCTATTCTAAATAGCAAAAATCTGCTTTTAAAAATTTGAAAGCTTCTATATAAATCCACCATTATCTGTAGTTACTCATCAAATTCAGTGAGAAAGGATAGAGGAAGATAAACAATACAGCAAAGATAATGGCTAATATGTGTTCACCTGGTAATTTATTAGTTTTACTGAGTTTATTTGTTTTTAACTTCGATTTTTTGTATGACATGAAAGTTACAAGAAAATTGAAAATTGCAGGTAAGACCTCATGGCCGGAGCTGCTCGGGGAGAATGGGAAAGCTGCTGCAGCTCTCATAGAGAAAGAGAACAAAGATTTGCATGCTATTGTGTTGAAGGAAGGAACTCCAGTGACTATGGAGTTTAGGTGGGACAGAGTCCGGGTTTGGGTGGATGAATGTGGTGTGGTCATTCTAGTTCCTATTAATGGCTAATGTTATGTAGTTTTACTTCATCTCCAAATAAATCATGGAATGATTTAAATTACAATGAAATAAAAATTTCCTTCAATATCTATGAAGGCTTGTATTAGTAATGTCATTGAATGAATATTAGATGAATTATTGCTATTGTAATTTAAAAGTATTTAAATAATTACTTATCTATTCAATTCACCTCATTATTGATTATCTTTTATGAAATTTAAAGCTTATACGGATCAATTTTAAATAATCTTTTTTTTTTTTTCCATTCTCTCCTAGCAATGGTTTCACCATTTTATAGGGAAAAAAAATTATGAATGTCAAGTCGAGCTTTTGTATTTAATAATATAAAATACTAAAATTTTCAAATTCGTTATATAATATTAGGAAAATAAATCTATTTTATCAAATTTTATCATCATTTATTTATTACTCCAAATTTCTGCTTTGATTGGCAAATAAATCTATTTTATTATATAATATTAGGAAAAACATGAACAAACCAGCCGTAAAACCGAGCTAATAAGGCCTCCACTATATCCAACCTAACTGTAGAATGTTAAGTGAAAGAAAAAATCTAGTCCAAAAACACATTAAACATATTAACTAAAAAAGTTGATATGCAAAAAGTACTAAAAATGGTACATAATCCTTGAGAGAATGTTCTGACCCAGCGTAATCCTTTAGTACAAATAGATCAACCCGATAAGCTTTAAGCAAACGAAAGTCATTAATAGAGTGTGACTTTATTTGGTTGGATATTTTAAATCTTAATTAAGCATGGATTTTCGATCAATGAAACTTGGTTAGTGTGATTTATTCCTCCGTTAGTGTTATTGACGTATAGTGATAGAAACTCATATGTGTTCATATATTGCAAATGTATGCTAACCTTAGAAGAAGCTCAATCAATAACTGAGGAGGAACATAAAAACATGCATTCCCATTCTAGAATTCACAGCCGAATTAGTTAGTTTGTTGGCTACTTGATTTACTTGCCATGGACGATTCAGTAATTCCTTATACTGAATTTTGAGATTGAGTAATTGCTCAAGATTCCTTGATAATTCACCCTACATAAATGAGCTACAATCCAGCCTACATAGTAAAACCAGTAATACATACGAAAAACTCCACAGTCACTGATTTCCTTTGCAAGTAATAGGTTTATTTTATAGTAATTATTATATTAATGTAGTTTTTAATAGGATTTTTAATAGATTATTATATTAATGTAGTTTTTAATAGGATTTTTAATAGTTTTTAATTAATTAGTGATTTTTATTTATGCTTTTATTTAATTTTAATTTTGCTTCCTTATGGTCTTGAGCTCGTATTGGAAGGTTTTCGTAGGAATTTGTCAAATATGCAAACAAAAAAGAATGAGATCACATGATTATTTGCCTTTTGAGTTGATATATTATTTAGGCACATGGAAGTTCTACATGGGAAGAAATACAAGACTAGACCTTTTCATACTATGATTAGATTTCTTTCTAAGTTAGATTATTTTCCTAATTAATTTCAAAGAAGACCTAGAATACTAAAGTCTATATAAAAGAACCTATATCACAAGAGGAGTTACACAATTCTACTTTTACAATTCTACTTTTAATTCTCTGCACCATTCTTATCTCTCTAGCTTCAAAGACTTCAAGAAAATTCAAAGAAAAGTTGCTGGCGAGATTCAAGATTCCAAAAGAATGCAAATTCAAGTCCAAGCATCTTAAAAAGTTTTTTTATATTTAACTTTCCTTTTGTTTTATAATAGGTTGATAATATTGCATTCTTTACATGGCAGAGGGGTCATTACTCTTAATTTTGAAACCCAGAGACTAATTATTTAATTGGTATTTTGTATGGATGGTAGATGTGAATCTCTCTATAATACTATGCACATACGCGAATCAGTTAACAAATTGGAATCAACCAAGTAAATACAGTGTGTATATATATATATATATATGTGTTGTATGTAAATTTTCTCAAATACAAATGAGAAAATCATACCTTGTCTCCTTCAAGAAATAAAAACAACATGTTACTAGAGATGGAAATTGCATATTAGGAATTGATTTTCCATTGAAAAACACACTACGCACCACCACCCACTCCGCACACCACAAATCAAATTTGTAGAACAAAAAAATCTCATTTTCCCGATGAGATGGACTCACCAGAGCCGTACATGCCATGGTGTTTCTCTGTCAGTCTTGTCACTAGGAAGGTCCAAAGTTCAGGTCTACAATTGAAAAGAAGAAGGAAGGTGGAAGAAGAAGCGGAAAGAAGAAAGCGGGGAAAGAAGAGGAAAGAAAGGAGGAAGAAAAATTAATTAATGCGCTTGTGAAATCATCGGCGTGAAAGATGGTCGGCAAATGGAACACAAGAAAGAGTAACAAGAAAAGAATGTTGGCTAAAAAAAACGACAGAAAAGAAACAAACTAGAAAAAAGAAAAATGAAACAATAAATGAAAATAGGGAAATTAATACGAAAGGAAAATACTAAAAATTGAACACTAAAATACTAACAAAATTTAATGGCTTGTAAATTAAAAATGGGCACAAAAATAAAATATACCATAAATTGGACAATAATTTAAAATCTTATAGTCAAACTGACATTGTTTTAATGATATTAAAATTTCAATATAAAGCTCATTATTTTAAATATTCTCAGTGAATTATTTCACCACATGAAATCATTAACAAATACTGAGGTATTCGAATAAAAGTGACTCTTATATTATTATTTTATATGTTATTATTTTAAGTTATTAAAATAAGTTAGGAAGAATAAGTTTCTTATTTACTATATTATTGCAAATATTAGAAGATAACCATATAATAATTATCAATACAAGATAAAGATTCCTTTATTTAGTTTTTTCTACATAATTATCTATATAGGGCTCTGATTTTATATATTATCTCTTACTTTCTAATTACTAAAAATGATAAAGTTATATATTGATCACCATAAAGCGAATATTTTTCTTTTATTCTCTTTGACTTTCCATTTTTTTATTTCATTAGTTTGAGATTTGTTTATCATCAACTTGATCGAGTGGCGAGAATACAATTCGAATGACTTATTAATGTTTTATTGTATATATCTGAAAACAACATATGTTTAGTTCTTATGTATCTTATTATAATTAGACATGAATTATTTTTAAATATTATGATTATTTAATTCTCATTTAAAAAAATAATATATATTTCATATAAATATTATTTATTACAAAAATATTTCTTTTTTGATATTACAAATGGAGAAAAGTTGTTCCAATTATTACAAATCTCTCAATTGAATGAGAACCATTAAAGATTTTTAGTTTAATCACAATAATTTTCTAAAAATTCCAAAGTTTCAGATGTAATAATTAAAATATTACAATTAATTTTAAAATTTCAATGTTACAGTAACTATTGATTAATTATGTTGAATAAAACACTCACTGATTAATCCAAATAGGTTATATTATGTAATCAAATAATACTATAAAATGACATTAAGATATTATAATAGATTAGAAAATACATATGGGATATGTAGATATAAACTACAAATAATAACTAAATAGATAGAGGATCACTTGTAAAAAAAACTGAAAGAAATTTTGTGAATATGATATAATAATAAATAATTATAATATTTACTTGTAAATATTTTGGTAATAATAAAAAATGTATATAGATCATAATTATTTATCTAGATATAAGACTACGACGAAAATAATACAGTAATAATCATACTACAAGACACACGAACAAAACCATATAATTTTATTAGGATCCTGACAAATTTTAAAAACAAACTCACCAAAAATAAATTGAGAAATTAGAATAAAAACAGAAAACACAACCTTTATGGTAAACCGAAACTGTTTTATGTCGCATTTCATAAATTTTACTTTTTTTTGTTTTCAAAATAATTTTCTAAAGCAACAAAAAAAAAAATTTAAACAATAACAGATTTTTATTTTATCTTTCAAAGGGAAAAATAAAAGACATCGAAAAAAAATATCCAAACAAACGGCACTTAATCTTTTCATGCTGTTTGAATATGAGCACGATGTATCCAGGCAGTTAATTTGCCCCACGAAATTCTTTTGTCCCCGGCAAAATTGCTCTCGTTCGTCAATATTTAAATGATTTTCAATAAAATCTGCTTGTCACGTGCAAAAATTCTCAAAGTGCCAATTGAGATTGGATGCTATAAACGTTAAAAGACAAATTTCCCCTCATTTTAATTGGGTAATTAACCCATCACCGCGTGCATATATCCTTTTGTTAAAGGAATGATATTATGTGGGTCCCCGTTTATATGTGTCCACAATTTAAGAGGGGTGAATTGGGTTTTCTAAAAAATTTAAACATTTAAAAGAAGATAAAAAATCGGGAGAAAATTCTGTTGCAGATATTTTCGTGGTGAATAAAAGAAATGGCGTACAAACTTAAGCAATAAGTATTATTGGTATGAAGAGAGTGTGAGATGTTAGCGTAGAATTGTATAAATTGGCTAAACTCACAAAGACTTAGATTATATGTTGAAGATTATGAAGGGACTGCTGTGAAAAACCAGTTATTTCTACGTTAAGCGAATCTGCTACATCGTCTAAAACTTAAGGCAATTTTAGAATTAACTTCTGGTGAAGGATTAGTTTATTGGCAATGTACGAACTACTTCACAAAGTTTAACAGCAAGTTGAGAAAGACTCTGTCAGAAGAACAATCTATTTATCGTATTAGAAGAGCGGTTGCTTCACTCAAGCTTATTGGTTATTTTAAAAAGATCTGTGACAAAACAGTTATGCA